ATTAATTATATATTGGATTGATAGTGCTTATCTTAGTGGTGCATAAAATATTGGTGCATTTTTCAATTGATGGTATTTCCAATTCAAGTAAATATAAACATGGGTAAAGATATAATTAAAGGGGGCAATCTAATTCCTTAAGTACTTCATAAGTTTGTCTGTTATTTCATAATTCATTCAATAAAAGGTACTTGTGATTCCTAGATTCTAAGGGTAATAAGCAAAGACCCTGCTTTCAACAGAGCATAAAGCAGGCTTGGAAAACTGACAATTAGATATTTAAATATTGTAGTATATTATAAAAGCAAAGGAAGTATGGCACACCTGTCCCTGGGGAAAGGGTTTCATTATACTCCAGGAAGTTTCTTAGGAATGACATTTATGTGGAGAATTAAGGATCAGCAACAGTTGGAATAACTACTTATGCAATGGCTTGGAGGAAATTTCAGGGAGATAGATAACAGAGGAGCTGAAAGAAGTTTAAAAATCTTGAGAAAAGGAATATATTCATCTAATTTTCAACTCTTGATGCTTTACTGTACTTGCTTGGAGAGTGAATACAATTAGCTTAATGCAAATTCAAGTACACCATTTTGTGTTTCAAACAACAAAATAACAGTACAGGTAATAATAGTATTTAGTCTCTTATAATTTTCTGTTTTTAACATGAGCTATTTTATTCTACTGCAGTTATTTTAAGGGACATAAAAATTTATCAAGATGTAAATCTCAGTAGGATGTTTTTAGGATTGAGGTGGAGGAACAAAGGCAGAGGATCATCTGTCTAAAGAAGTAGGATCAAGTTGGGCAAGATGGCACATGCCTGTAATCCCAGCAGTTTGGGAGGGTGAGGCAGGATGAATTCAAGTTTGCAGCAACTTAGCAAGACTCTCTCAAAAAATTAAAAAATAAAGGACTGAATATGTAGCTCAGTGTTTGTTACAGGGCCCCTGGGTTCAAGTCCCAGTAACCCCCCAACTCCCGGCCAAAAGTCAACTTTTTGATCTGGAACTGTGTCCCCACAAATCATGCATTAGAATCTTGAATCATGACACACAGAAGAAACATAGGTAAACTAGTATAGCAGATAGATTTATTACTCTCATTGCTTATTTACTAAACAACAAACAAAAATCCTTCAAATTCATTGCTACCTTTACAGACATCATAATGACCAAGGAAGTTTGCAGCATCTTTGGTGACTCCTAACTCCTAATATCACATTGTCTGACCCTGGAGACAATTTCTTTGGTTTGGGTAAGTGATTTCCTCTCCATATTCAGCCATCTCCTCACTGGAGTTCATTTCAAACATGGAATCCTGCCTGTGCAAAAGGTCTCAGAAAAAGACCCTAAATGTTTATAGAGTATGGAGACATACATAACTCACTTAGGGTGATTCTATGTGTTTATGTTAATAAACATTCTTATTTGTGTTATACTTGGTGTAGGGTGGATCATCATCTAATTTCACTGTACACCAAAAAATCATGAAAATAACACTTGCATTATTAACTAGAACCTTATTAAAATTTTTTTAGATGATTATATTTGGATTTCACAGAGGATAATCAAGAGGGGAGTAGACTTACATTAGGCAGACTGTATAGCATATTTCCGAAAATGAATTTGAGGTCAGGGATCTGAATTGAGTTAAATTTGTCATTTACTTTTGCTCAACTTTGGACCAATAAAATTAATCTCAGTACTTTGATATCCTCATCTCTCCAATAAGGATAATAGTTCCAAATCTTTGCACTTTTTTTTAGATTAAAATAATACAAATGAAGTTGTTGGCACTGGGCCTTGCACATATACAGCTCAGCATTAAACTGTACTAGGTACTCTCTGTTATTTTCTGTCTTGATCTTGTCCTCTGGAAAGCTGAATCCAACCACTTGGATATGGCCAGTGTAAGGACTGGGCAAGATGTTACAGGGTAGTGGGGAAGGGAAGTATTTATTTCCCCTATCCACTTTCTTGCTGGGCTTCAATTTTGTCATTAGCTGCACTCTTCTACCTGTAGCCATTGTTTTGGTCCAGTGACCTTCCTCTAGCTAAGAGTTCAGAGTCAAGCTCCTTGGGTCTAGGAATAATCATGGTTTTTCTTCCCACTGTTCCTTTAGGTGTTTTCTCCACACTGTTGTTCCATCATCATTTTTTGGTTCTTGTTCCTTTGCAGTCTCTCTAAACTGTCTCTATGAAAATTTCTTCAGTTAAATTCTCTGTATGTGCTATTAGTTGATGCTGAGACTTTGTATAAAATAACAATAAAGACTATTGGGCATAAGTGAGAATTTTGATATTGACAAATAATTAAATATTGAAAGAAGCTAATTCAAGAAATTCTAAATGCACTGGGAAGTTTATCGGGATGGTGGCAGTTTGTACTTGTGATGTGTGCTCAGCTTTGAACTCTGTAGTTTGTTTAGATGGCAGGGACTAGTGGGAAGGAAGGGTGGAGTTCTTTATTACATGCTTAAAACTAGAAGAGCATATCTATAGTGGCAAATAAACAGGATTATGGAGAAAGTAAGGAATTGTGACTAGATATGATAGGCACTTTTATTTAAGAGTCATGGTAGGCGGAATAATACTGGTCTTCTAGAAATGACCATGCCCTAATTCCAGAAACTTGTGAATGGCAAAAGGGCTTTGGAAGATGTGATTAAATTAAGGATTTTGAGATGGGGAATTATTCTGGTATGCTCAGTGTGCATACAGGGATCTCTAGGGAGGCAATAGTGTCATCATCAGAGAAAGAAAAGTGACAATAAAACAGAGTCAGAGGGAAAGGTTTGGAGATGTTACCTTATTTGCTTTGAAGAACAACAGAGGGACCAAGAGTCAAGGGAAGCAGGTGGACTCTAGAATCTGAAAGAAGCAAGGGAACTGATTCTCCCCTAGCTTCTCCTAGAACCTCTAGAAGCAGTACCCTGGTAACTTCTTGATTTTAGCCCAGGAAGACTTAAGACCTATAGAATTATAGTAAGTGTTTTAGATTGGAAAATCTGACACCTTGTTACAATACCAAGAGGAAACTGATATGGGGGCAGTAGGAGATAGGATGCTGGATTTGGGCAGTTGAGAATTTTGGATTTTATCTACGGTAAACCAGGAACCACCATAGATTTCTGACTAAAAACTCAGATATAATGAAAACAATATATTAGGAGGGTGGATTAGAGTTTGGTTTCAAAAAGCAAACAAGAAAGATAAGCTTTACAGTAGTGTACATGGGTGGGTGTGGCAGTACAACTGCAGATTAAGTGTATACTCTGAATTGATTGGAAGTTTCCAAGTATGAACAATTGATAAGGAAGAGCTGTTATTAGAATATGATGACTAGTGGAGAGGCCAGCAAAAGAAAGGAAAAATTCAAACCTCTGATCCTTAATGTTGTGAAATGGTCATAAACACAGTATATATGAAGTGTCTGCTGAATCAATAGCTATTGAAATTCTAATTTAAATATTTATACACAGAAGAGCTAAGTATTATAATTCAGAAATATCTTGCATTATTTCTGTTAAGTCCCTTCCAAGGATTCATCAAGACATATTATACCACCATATATATGACACTGTAAATCGTTAACCTTTCCCCCTTTTTAAAAGTTTCATTCTTTTTAGAGGAGATGCAAACTTGATTGGATCCTTTCTGTATTAGTAATTACTTATTTGGTAAAATGAAAAACAACTTGAATAGTAAGCTTCAGATTTTCAACAACAACAACAAAATGGAAACAATCTTCAAAAATGGGGATGAAGAAGAATCGTAGGTCAAATATGTGTAGAGGGTAGTGGCGGTAGCTGGTAAATCAACTCCCTTCCCAGCTGTAATGCTGTTCAGAAGCTACCACTGTTTGGATTAGGAGCATTTCCTGATTAGTGGAGAATATTTGGATGAAAAGCCAGTAACTCAGTATTAACTCTCTACACCACCTCACTATGGAAAAAGTTCTGCTTGCTAATAATACATTTCTGAATGATCTTCACAAAACATTAGCAATGCCTGGCCTTCTGAGACAGGGCTTAACTGTCTAACTTGTCCCTCTTTGTAATGTTAAGTGCTAAATTACCAGTACTAACAAGTATGCCAGTTACAAAAACACAGAACCAGTGAATGCCAGTGATATGCTAAAGCCAACCGTTTGTTAAGCCATTATTTGGTGATTTTTCTTCCCTAAAGCTGATACCAATACACTTCCACCTATCTGCCTTCCTCCTGACACCATTTCAACTTTCCCTCCTCAACCAGAAACTGGTTTAAAAGTTTTGACCATGGTTTAATCATTTGAAATTCCTTAGAAAATGCTGTGATCAACCTAAATTGGATATAACTTTGCATTCTAGTGTTATTTTAAATCCCCTCCTTAAAATTCATATTATGTAATAATACTATATTTTGCATCTTAAAAATAACTTGTGCTGTGATATTTACAAAATAAATGTTCATTACTCCTCAGTTTCAAAATGTTCCTCCTCTCGGTTGCTGACATAGAAACTTCATTTAGGGACAGGAAACAGTTTTGCCTTGAATACTCTCTTGTTTTTTTGTTTTGTAGCAGAAAAATCTTAAATACTACACAGCAAGAAAATGCAATACTGTTCATTGCTGAACAACCTGAAGATAGGAATTTTGCATAAAAATCAGGCACCTTCTAGTCATCCCCCCAAAACCATTCAACAAAATCCTAAAATACAATGAAGATTGTAAAACAACTTTAATTTGAAAAGGCAATTCTACTTAAAGTTTAAAGCACTGCCTTACCATTAGTCATGGAGCTGAAAGGGCCTGAAGTTACACCCGAACTAATTTTTATATGAATCAAAATGCAGAAACTCCTATAGGCTAACCTGGCCAGGTTACCTGTAGTGCCTGAAAGTAGACAGGCGCTCCCTCCTGCTCTTTGGCCCACAGCTCTGTGGACCTCCCTCCTGGCTCCAAGCCCCAAGACCCGCGCGCAGGAGATGCTCAGAGGAAAGCAGAGTTGCTCACCGGTGAGGAGCCAGCAGCAGGCGACAGCGACCCCTCGGCTGTCATGGCGCAGGAGGGCCATGGCTGGAGTGGCTGCAGTGCTCTCAGTGCTCCCGGGATGAGCTGGTTCAGAGGGCAAGACCTGGCAGGACTGGACTCCGGCGCCGCGCTCTTCTGGCCACTTCGACGGTCTTCTCGGGTCTCACTCGGTGGCCCCAGGCGGCCGCAGCGTCCAAGCGCGGCAGAGGAGTGATTTCCTGTGTTTTCGTCGAATGCCTCTAGGTCAGCTCCACGTTTTTCCCATCCAGACGGATTGCCACATCGCCCGCCCCTTCGCGCTCTTGGGTCTCTGAAATCTCACTGGCAGCGTCCCAGGCTCTGTCCGAGACATGGACAAATAAAGCCAGCTTCGCGGTTCGGTGTTTAGGCTAAAGTCCACAGGCTGCAAAGCAAACCTTAAAGGGACATCTCTTTCATTGAGAAGGGGATCTCGCTCTCTGTGCCAAATCCCTAAGGTGGTAGGAAGGCGGGCAAGGACTGGACCTTTAGAGGGTGTCGCCAGTCCTGTGGCTCCGCCTTCACACTCTTTACTTCTCCCGCGTCTGGGCAGGAAGGGCACTTTCAAAGTGTCCGGGCTCTTCTAGCCTTAAAGGGAGGCTGCTTTCCGGGGTCCGATTGCGCAGAAGAGGCTGCTTTCCGGGGTCCGATTGCGCAGAAGGGATCATCATCATTTCACTGTCTGTGAAAATGAGCAGATCTGATACCCACTCTCCTTGCCTGCAGACGCTTGAACTTTGCTTTGAAGTCCCAACCACCCGATATGCTCCACTGAGGGCTTTGCTTTTCTTTGTGGAGAGTTTGCTTCCTTTACATGACTCCTTGTTAAAGGGTGGTTGTAGATAAGATTTTCTTTGGAAAGATAATAAGATTGGGAGGTTAGTTGGGGGGGGGGGGGGGGAAAGATGCGGGCAAGAGGGTAGAGGGAGGGAAAGAAAGGGAGGAAAGCAGTTTCCTTAGAAATGGAATGTGTGTGGGCTATTTTGTTTAAGCTGAATTGGGATGTTTGTACACTGGGAATTGAATCTAATAAAAAAACTCAGTGTACTGTTTTGTTTTTCTTGCTACAGACTTTAATGAGTAAGTGTGCTTTAAGTCGTGTTCCTGTCAGTCTTCCTGGGAGAGTGGGGCCAAAAGACTTGCCTAGGAGTTTACAAGCTTCCCTTGCACGGTGGATTGAATAACCTCCCTGAGTCAAGAGCCACATTCACATGTTGGTTTCAACAAATACTTGCTGTTTTAAAAGCACTGTGCCTTAGTGGTTTTGAGAATTCAAAGGTGACAAAAGAATGGATGAGTGGACTTGTGTGTAGAGGTGTTGGAGGGAATCAGTTCAAGTATTTGAATGTCTCTATCAGGGTAGGTCTAGGCAGGACAAGAGTGCCACCCAAAGGAGGGCTCATTGCCTAGAACACAATGCAAGTAACAAAAGCCTGTAGGGGTGTGGGTAAGCCTGCAGGGGTGATTGGATATACTGTTAGAGGAGTGCAGCAAGTAGAAGATGAAGAAGACAAATATTAACAAAATTTAATGAAGGTCAAAAATAGGGTGAGCAGAGAGTCTGAAGACTGTCAAATCTCAGTACGATGACTGTTAGCCAAGGAATTCCTTTTCTAATTGTTGTATTTGAACTAATTCATTACTTAGTAAGTACATTAGAAACCTATTTCTCCCTAATTTTTTATTTCATAATGACTTTTTTAAAATTCTAGCTTTAAATTTACACAAATAAATCTCTAGAAAAATAGTATTGTATTGGGTCAGAGTTCACTCCTATTATGCATTATTGGGATTCCCTGGCCTGCATTCAGTGTTCTCATATTTTTTCCACAGAAAAAATATGTATATATTTCATCTCCCTGTTTATAGTCTCAGTTATATCTTCTGCTTCTCAGTATGATCCATGGGGCCTTGCAAAATAATAAGTATCAATTATAGCTTGGGTATTGAAACATCATAATAAATAATTTCCCAACAATATTTCCTGAAATGGTTTGGTTTCAAAAAATACATAATAACGTATATCTATGTGTGTTTGTGTGTATATATACATATATAGAGAAATGTGTCTATATATGTGTGCAAATGTATATTCATGTGCTTATGTGGCATTCCAGTAAATTGTAATGCATTACATGAGCGAAAAAACAAAAAGTGATATTTTAACATATCATAGAGAAATAACATGGGGTTAAAATATCCTTATAATATGATCAAGGCTATTATCTATTAGAACTTTTCCCTTGGGGTGGGGAGTTAGGATATACTTTCAATTTAAATATTTGTATTTCCCTTGGACTTAAAAACTTCATGGTCACAACTATTACTATCAGTGATAGTATTAAAATTAATTTCAAATGTGCTATGAGTTTTACAACAATGCTGATTGATATCATGTAAAACCATTGCAAATGTAGAGAGTGAAAAATAGCTATTGCTGTGTAATAATATTTAGAATAAGTACTCATTTTCAAAACACAATAGCTTTAAATAAAAGCTATGTCAAGCAAATTATTTATTTATTCTGATACAAAGACATTAAGAAAACTAAGAGAAGATAAAATCTTGCATAGTGTCACCAACTAGTAATTGTATAAGTACACTAAATGACAAATGTTAAACTCTAAACTAATACTTTTCTATTTTAAATGAGACCTGATTTGATCAGACTTCTTTCAGGGTTTGGAAGCAAGAGTGAAAATTAATAATACACTAAAAGATAGAAGACATGAGTGGTTAAGAATTTGGAAATTACCAGTCTATGAGTAAGAGTAACTAGTATTATTAGCCAAAAATATTGAAAGGAAAAACACTAAAGTATTCTTGGATTTCATCTAATATACCAAATAGATTATTAGAGTCAGTAAGGTTCTGGAGTCATGCTGCTTGAGTTGAAGCTCTGGAGCCACAATGTGTTAGCTGGGTGATATGGGAAGTCATTTAGTTTCTCTAAGCTTCAGTTTTCTCAAATGAAAAATGGGGATGGAAATAGTAACCTTCTCTAAAGATTGTCATGAGGATTAAATGAGGCTAGCTATAAGCATTTAGCACCGTACCTGATTGAAATGAATGCTCAATGGAAAGGAATCATTCTTTCCAGAAGTATTGGTATTAAATGAACAATGGAAATGTAGGGCAGGTGCTGTATGTGAGAGGTCCTCTAGGAACTGAAGCAACCTGCTGGCTGTCAGAAAGGGAATTTTAGTGTTTAGCTAAAACAACTCCATCAACTCCTATTATTATTTCTGGAATCCTCAGCTTTAGAATATTTACTTCAGATTATGGAATTATTTTAAAGATATGCCTATAATATTAGCATACATGAAGACATCAGAATCCCATATAACATTAACCAGAATTTGCTTTTTAAATTCGATAGCTATCCAAAGGATTTTTTAAGCAGAAGTAAAGATAGTTTAAAACTCTGCCCCTGTGAATGCCTAGATTCTTTGGTAATAAGATCATGGGTCTTAAAGCCACAGGATATAAAAAGGTACTCCCACATGGAAGGTGTTTAGAAAATATACAAGAAAATCCCAAAATGAAATTTTTAAAAATTTAATATGAGATTTCAAATAAATTTTAAGGTAGCATCAAAGAGTGCTTTTACCCACTCCTCATCCCCTTCACTCTGGGGAGTTAGAGGTAGGTGGGGTTGTCTAGAACTGCTTTTCTCTCTTTCTCTTTTTTTAAGGATATCATAAATATTATTTAAGATTTTATTCTGCTCAGGGGAACGTACTCCAAGACAGAGATGTGGGCTAATTCATAAGGCTTACCCATTTGGGCAACTTAATTTAATTCAATAATTTTTAAGTTTCTGCTCTACATTGGGTTTTAAGGCTATGCTATCCAGAGGTAAAAATGGGTAGGACAGTGGATCTTATTTTGCCAATCTGCTGTCCACTAATTTCTTTCACTTGTTAATAAGAACAGAACATAATTAGTTTTTTCCTCAATTTTAACATTGGCATGTTTCATTTTAAGTTTATAAAATTAAACAGTCTGAATTAGTTGTTGCTGTTTCAGCTTGGAAACTCATGATTGCTTCCTCTATGACCAAAACAAAGTCACAGTGATGTGGAGCTTGAACTTCACCACTAGCCAACCATTTGTTTTTTGTTATTACGTAATGTTCTTATGTGCATGTTTTTTCACTTAAAATATAAAATAGGTGTTCCTCCCAGCCTATTTCCTGAACACATCTGTGCCAGAAACTTGGTCCAAAGACAGGCAACTGGTTCTTTTTTAAAAAAGGAGGGAGGGAAAGTACTTCAGCTCAGAATCCTGGTGAGGTGCCCTTCTTAACATGGTAGGAAACTTCCCAACTTATTGGCAGACTTCAAAGTGACACATCAGGGTTATAGCAGGGAGGACATACCAGGGTGGTACCTTGGCAGGAATGTTCAATTCGTGGTGCTCTCTGACTCAGAATAACAACCACTGATGAGCAGAAACAATTTAGCTGTACTGCTGGGTCCCCTCATTTGAAATATGAGTTTATGATGTTTTATTATATTATACATTTAGGTGATTCTAGGTTGATTTACTTATTTTCCTTTAACTAGTTTCTAAAAAGGAAAATAAAGTAGATTGGCTCTAAAAATCCCAGGATTACAATCAGTAGTTGATTAATTAGTATTTGAAACCAAGATTAATGTTTCTTGTAGTAGAATTGGGCCACTAAACACGTATGTGGCAAAATACCCTGTCGTTAATAGAAAATCAATATATCAAAAGAGAAGGAATCTTTTATTTGGCAGTACATAATTTTATACATTTCTTCAAAGAAAGTATTACATATTTGGCTTTGGTTTGGCTCTGAAATAAGACTTAAATAACTTGTTTTATAATAATTACATGCCTAGTTTTTGTCTGTACTGCTAGACTAAAATCTATACCAAGATAGTCAATTACTCATTTTCATCCGTTACAGACTCTGCCCTTATGTATTTCATTCATCCAAACATTTAGTCAAACATTTACTTCTGTGCAGCAAGAAGTCTCTTAGGACCTGGGGATTAAGAAATGCTCTGGAGGGCTGGGGATTTGGCTCAAGCAGTAGCGCGCTCACCTGGCATGCGTGCTGCCCGGGTTTGATCCTCAGCACCACGTACAAACAAAGATGTTGTGTCCGCCGAAAAAACTAAAAAATAAATATTAAAATTCTCTCTCTCTCTTAAAAAAAAAAAAAGAAATGCTCAGGTGCTAGGTCCTTTCCTCAAGTAAATTTACAAGCTGTTTGGAGATAAATGCATAGAATATACTTTCTAATTGCTTCTGACCTCCCAGAATCAAGAATGAATAAAATCAACAGGGCTTCTTAGAGATAAAGGGCACTGGAGGTAAGCCTGTGGCAAGTGGGCAGGTAATTTTATAGGTGAACATTAAAGGTAATGGGCATTGGAAGGAAAGGCAACATGAAATGCATGAATAGATTGGGATCAAAGGAAAGGGAGGCAAGTGAAGTTGGAACCAGATTTGAAAAGATCTTAGAAAGATGCCAGTGAATTTGGACTTCTTACAAGCATCAACTATTTTCATGTTTCTGAGTGATATACACAAATATGGTTTTTACTGTTTTTTTCTTTTTTTGTTTTCTGACCTGGTTTGATTCGATATTATTTTTATAGTAGTAAAAACTAAAATATGTCACAGGCATGGAGCACACTGTGAAACTTTTCCCAAGATTTTTATGTAATACTTCCTTTGAAGAAATGTATAAGT